AACAGCTCAGATGGCTTGGGAGATCTTTGGAAACAATGTGAGATAAGGGGGGGGGGAGAATAACAAGAGCTCTGATGGATCAGACCATTGGTTCGTATAGTCCAGCATCCAGTCTTACACAATAGCCAACCAGTTACTTGGTGGTCCAACAACAGGGCATGGAGGCCAAGACCTTCCCCTGATGTTGCCTTCTGGTACTGGTATTCGGAGGTTTACTGCCTCTGAATGTGGCAATTCCCTTTAGTCACTATGGCTGGCAGTCACTGATAGACCTATCCTCCATGAATCTCTTTAATCCCTTTTTGTAATCATCCTCTGGCAGCGAATTCCACATTTTAATATACCAGGTCACCATCATCTACATGTTTTTTACTTTCTCAAATAACTCCAAAAGGTTGGTGAGGCAAGACTCCCCTTGCAGAAGCCATACTGATTTTCCCTCTGCAGGCTTTGTTCTTCTACGCATCTAGTAATTCTATTTTTCATTACAGTTTCTACTAACTTGCCTGGGACAGACATTAAACAGGATTTATTGGTTTTTGATTTCCTCCTAGGTCTAGAGTTTCATCTCTTGTCACCTCAATTTGACTCAGTTCTTCAGATTCCCTTCCTGAAAATAGTTGCTCTGTTCTGGGTATATGCCCCATACCTTTCACAGTGAATACGGATGCAAAGAATTCATTTAGTTTCTCTGATATCTTCCCTCCTGCCTTTAGCAGTCTTTTTATTATTTGATCATCCAGAAACACAACTGCTTCTCTGGTTGGTTTCCAGCTCCGGATATATTTAAATAAATGCTTACTGTTTGCCTTTATGCTTTTAAAGGTAAAGGTTCCCTTGCTCGAAAACCAGTCGAGTCCGACTCTAGGGTTGCGGTGCTCATCTCCATTTCAAAGCCGAAGAGCCAGCGCAGTCCGAAGACGTTTTCCGTGGTCATGCTTTTAGCAATCCTCAAATGGTCTTTTTGTATGCCTAATTATTAACTGGGAATGGAAGGTGGCATGGTTTAGCCCAATCTCATCGGATTTCAGAAGCAAAATATTTGGGTGGGAGACCACCAAGGAAGGCTCTGCAATGGAAGGCATTGGCCCAACCACCTCTGCTTCTCACTTGCCCTGAAAGCCCCTTGTTGGTGTCACCAGCACTTACAGATGTAATGATTAGCATGCACTCCTGTTGCCAGACCCTGTGCTCCCTTTTGATCCCTTCATTAGGGCAGGCTTTCGACTTTTTAAAGAAGCTGTTTTGCTTCCTTTGAGTTGGATCACTTGAATGAGCAGGAAAAGCCACCCAAACTTAAGAGTAAAAAGGTTCCCTTGCTCGAAAGCCAGTCGAATCCGACTCTAGGGTTGCGGTGCTTATCTCCGTTTCAAAGCCGAAGAGCCAGCGCTGTCCGAAGACGTTTCCGTGGTCATGTGGCCGGCATGATTAAACACCAAGGTGCACGGAACGCTGTTACCTTCCCACCGAAGTGGTACCTATTTATCTACTTGCAATTTCTTGCTTTCGAACTGCTAGGCTGGCAGGAGCTGGAACTAGAGATGGGAGCTCACGCCGTCATGCAGCACACCCGGGTTTCGAACTGCAATTATTTTTATTCTAAAATATTTTATTAGGCTAAGACAGGAACCATGGAGACATTGCTTGGAATATGTTACCTATACTCTGTGGAAAGCAAAACCTGCTGTCTTCATGCCCTACACTTTAGTGATGGCCATAGTCAGAAAGGAGCCAATGGTTGCACTTCCTCACCTTCAGCACTGACTAACCCTACTTATGTCAAAACTGTTCTTTTCAAAAGTGACATTCCATCTTCCATTTACAGAATGACAGTTTCTTTTTAGAACAGAAAGTTTCTGCTAAAAAAAAGTTAACGGCAGCTGATACCTTGTACCACACTGCCGTTGCAGTGTTCCAAACTTCACCCACTGGACCCACCCAGCTGTGCTAATCAAATACCCCCCTTTAGCCATATTTCATCGAAATTCAGAGCAAGAGATCAACAAGAAAGTCAATTTGTATAACTGAATCTATACAGTTTAATGTTACTAATAATTGACGTGTTGCTTAATAACCCATACAGTTTCTGCAGCCCAAACACCGGCTGTTGCATTTCCTTTATTAGGAAGTGGCACGCAGAAGGTCTCGTGATAATATATACAGCACCAACCTGCACCATTGTCTTAAGGCACTGGCATAAATGTATGCAGGGTTCACACTTGGATTATGGCCAACTGTTCACTTCTATCAATTCCCTTCTGTAAAGCATCTCTAAGAAGCCCTTGCGTCCCCAAAAATGATTCTAGCATCCCAGCTACCTCTTTCTTAACTCAGAGACTTCCATTCTCTATTTCTGTGTCCCCCCCCCTTTCCTCTTCTTTTTTGCAGCCGCTTTCAAGGCCATAAACAGTTAGGGACCGCTCAAGGCCCTACATGATCAGGAACCAATGTACCTGTGGGACCGCCTCTCCTGGTATGTACCCCGGAGAGCATTGTGCTCAGGAGAACAACATCTGCTGGAAGTTCCTGGCCCAAAGAGCGTTCAGCTGTCCTCAACCAGAGCCAGGGCTTTCTCGGCCTCAGCTCCAATTGGGTGGAACTCTCTGCCAAAATGACATCAGGGCCCTGTGGGACTTGTTACAGTTCCACAGGGCCTGAAATTCAGAGATGTTCTGCCTAGCATATGGCTGAGGACAGCAACGGTTCGGCCAATTAGTTGCCTCTCACTCACCTCCCCCCTGCCATTGGGGGTCAGATTTGTACTGCAACGCCATATAGGTGTTAAGCTTTTTGTATACCATCTGTTGTTTTAAGATTTCTATATTTTATTTGTACACTTAGGTTAACGGACTGTTTTTGTTCCTCGATATAAAATGTTGTACACTGCTCTGAGCCAGCTTTGCGAGGAGAGCAGTATAAAAGTCTAATAAATAATAACAGCAATAATAGTTTTGTTCTATAGCAAGACATATTTGGCTCAATGGCTGCGAGTTGCAGACCCTCGCTCTGGCTCCTGGTGGATTCTTTAAAACCGCTGTTTTACCCATGCAGCAGACTGAGGGGGTAAAATGAACAGAACCGCAGGTAGTACAGCTCTTAACCTTTCCTGTCACAAAAACTCCATGCAAATACAAAACTTCAACAGTAGAAAGAAACAGTCTACCGCTTCTCTTTTACTGCTTTTCCCCGGGAATTTCAACCATAGGGAAACATTGCAAAAAATGTGATCTTCCATCAGGCCTGTAGCCAGGATTCTTTTGTTCAGGGGCATTTAAATTTTTAAGGGGGCAGTTAAATAAATCAATCTGAATCCCTGTCTTTAAAGGGGGAAGCTCAGAGCCTGTTTCTAGCCCTTCCTATCAAGGGACAGGGCAGCAAGTGCACCCGTTCTTAGGAAAAAATAGCTCAGAGGGCATTTAATTGCCTTCAGAAGGCATTTAAATGCCTTTTAAGTTCCCTTCCCCAGGGCAAGAAGGCTCAGAAGGGCACCTTCAATACATCTCCAACAATCTCCAGGCCCGTAGCCACAGTGGGGGCATCTCGGGGCCCAGCCCCTAGATTTACTGCCAAGCCCTCCCCCGACTTCCTATCCAGCCCCCAGGCACTCCCTTGGGAGTGTGTACGGGGTGTGTGTGCGGGGTGCCCCCTGAATTATTTAAAGCCCCCCCCAAATTAAAAAAAATCCTGGCCTGACAATCCCCCTTTCTGCTAACCCAGTGCCACCGAGGTCATGGTAAAAAATAAGGTCTCTGGCATGACTATTTGTGGGGCAGAGCTTTTAATTAAGGGGGCAGGGACCCGAAATGCCCCACTGCAGCTATGGGCTTGTCTTACATGATGAAACGGTGTAGTCTGATCTATCACCACCAGTCTCTGCATTCTCCCAAGTGTATGAAGCCGATGTCTAGTCTTGTGTGTTTGTGTGTGGGAAGGGAGGCTTTAGCTAAACAGGGAAGAATGGTAGGATGCTTCAAAGGGTAAAGGATACTTACCAATCCTGACCCATCAAGTTCCCTAACCTGGGGACTAGGCTTCTTTACCTCAAAACCTGCAACCTTCGTTCTCATTCTTTCAGATCACAAATTGACCAAAGGCGATAGTCTAAAAACTTGGTGATGATGACCAATGTTCCCTCTAAGCTGTAGAGTCTTGTGAGCAAAAATTTTACTTTGTGAGTTGCTGGCATTAAGGTTGTGAGCGAGCCATTTGGTTACTGCATACATTAGTATGCATTGGAGCCATCCTTCTTGAGCTAGGACAAAACTGTGTGAGCCGGAGGCTAAAAAACTGTGAGCTAGCTCACACTAACTCAGCTTAGAGGGAACACTGATGATGACCCCGGGCAGGCAGTGCACATGCGGCCCCCCCCCGCCCCCCCCCCCCCCCAGCCTCTCACCGTCTGCTGTCTGTCGGTAGCTGGTGCTGGAATGCACCTTCCTTTATACTTAAACCACCAGCTGGGGGAGAAACCCCTTCTAACAACTGCAAGCAGGCGCAGACACAGACTTGTTTTATTTTTGCAGAGCGAGATAGCTGCCATAACCGTGACCTCCTTCCGGCCGTCTGGAAGGGTGTCTCTCGCTGATGCCGAAGGCTTAATGCACCGAGGCTCTCGGTTGGCAGGGCTGAGTCATTGACTGCTGTGTCGGAAAACCGACCCTGGGTCGGTTGGGAAAGCAGCAGGCGCAGCAGCGACGCGAAACGAGGAGCCGCCGCCGCCGCCCTCCTGCGGAGACCCCGGGGCTCCCCTTCAGGGCGCTCCCCTTCACACGCGCCACAAAGCCCAGTCCCAGGGGGTCCAGGGGAGTTTCTCCCCCCCCCCCCCCCCCAGTTCTAGGGAGCCCAGCCTTTCCTGTCCCGACCCTGCAAGAGGATTGGACGGGGGAGGAAGGGAGCCCCCCGCCAGCTTTTCCATTGGCCGGATGCGTTGATGGACAGCTCAGAGGATGCCTGGGGAAAGGCGCGCGCGGGGGGGGTGGGGTGGTCGGTATGCATTCGCCGGAGGGTCTAGCTGAGCCGGGACCGAGGAAAAGCAGACTCTTTGCAAGGCGCAGGTGAAGGGGGGAGGAGGAAGCGTCGCCCCGGCGGGAGCAACTGCGGCCATGGGTGTGGACGTGGAGACCATCTCGCCTGGAGACGGTGCGGTAACCCACCTTCTCGGTTCCCTTTCTGGGTGACTGGAGAGAGAGAGAGACTAGGATGGATCGCTTGGGAGATCGAGGCATGGGAAGCTGGGGGGGGGGAGGTAGTGGCGGCGGAGGATCTGTCTGTCACTGCAGGAGGGCAGGTGGGAATGGGGTCTCTGCGGGGAGGGGGCCATCTCTGGCCAGAAGAGAAGAGGTGCCGGGGCTTTTGGGAGAAGAGGGTGAATGAAGGGGGGGGGGTTGCCATGGGAAGGGGCGATCCCGGCGAAAGATGAAGCATGGAATCGAGGGCGATGCGGTGGGTATATCTACGGTATAAGAGAGCACATTTAGGAACCAAGGCATTTGCGCACCTTCTCGGCGTTCTTCCCTCTCTGGTCCATAATACCTCCTGGGTCTTCTCGCAGGCTCTGGCCACTTCAGGAAAGTCTATTACAGGGGGGGAGTTGTGAAGAAAGGACCTGGTCTCCTCCTCGTGTCAGCGTTGTAGGATGGCGATGAGCCAGGAGGATGTGAAATGGGTGGGCAACTCTGGGGACATCCGAAGGGAACGCCAGGGAGGATCGGGTTGGAAGCTGGTCAGGAGGACCGAGAGATGCACCCGGGGGCAAGGGACTGGAAGGTGCAAAAAGCAAAACCAAAAACCGAGGCGGGGGGGGGGGTGTTATAGAGCATCACCTTTCCTACTGTCAGTCCGAGGGGGAAACTTCCGACGTCCCTGCTCTGGAGCCTGCCGGAGTGTGCGTCAGTCTGGAGCAGCAGTAACAAGGGAAGAAGCCCCCCCAGGGCTCTGTGGGGATCAGGAGGCTGCAGTCTTCTGCTGCTGCTGCTTCGGCGGCGGCGGCGGCAGCCGCGAGCGATTAGGGATATTTAAATGGCATTTGCTGACAGCTGCATAAATCCGAGCGCGGTGAAGTAATTTAGTAACAAGAGCAAATTATAGTACACGGCACTTCCTGGCTTAAAATGTGACCGTCGCCATTCAGCAAGAAGGGGGAGAGAGAGGGGGAGAGAGAGAGGAGGCTCGCAGTCGCTTCTGGGTGGCAACCTGGAGATTTTTTTCCCCCTCTTAAGGGGAGAGCAGGCGCTGCTGCAATTGCAGTAGCAGCAAAGCACTTAACTTCTGTGGGAAAAGATGGAAAGGTGCTGTGGTGCGCAGCGACCGCCCTTGGGACACATAGCCACTCCTGTTGCCACTTCTTGTCGGGAAACAACCCCTGCTTCCTGGATTGACATAGGTGTAAATTGCTTCAGTGAAAGCAACTGGGTGTTAGAACATCTTTGTAGGCATTAGAGCCAGACGGTACCACTGGTGTCGTTTAGCCTAGCTGAACAAAGGTAAGCCCCTGGCAAACCTGAAATGGTTTCCTCCTCCTTGAAAGAATCGGGACATGCCCAGCTGTGTGTCTTGGCCAGTCTGTCATCCCCTAATTCTGTAATATAATTATGAATTTATGGACAGAGGTCTGGACATTTTGGCTGGTTAGGTTAGGCCGGCCTGATCTGGAGAGCCCAGACAAGCTGGATCCTGTCAGATCTCAGAAGCTAAGCAGGGTCAGCCCTGGTCAGTATTTGGAAGGGAGACCATCCCAGGGCCTTCAAGTCGGAGCTTTTCCTCCAGGCATTCAGTCAAAGAGCCGCATCAAACACCTGAATAGTGAGACCTGCGCCTCAGCTTCACCATGAACAGCCTGTGCCCACCGCATAAATAAATTGTTCAAGATGAGCTGGTTTGAATATACCATCATGACTGTTATTGCCACCTTAAGTCAGGGGTGTCGAACTCATTTGTTATGACGGCTGGATCTGACATAAATTAGACCTTGTGGGGCCGGGCCATGTGTGTCATAAAATATAATGCCAGGTAGCAGAGTTATAAACTTTATAAAGGACACAAACACAAAGGGTTTTTTTAAACTTTTTTTCTCAAAATAAAAAACATGCTTAAAACATTAGCACTCTTGCAATATTTTGTTTATTTAACAGTGTCTGATAACTGACACCTCTTGCTCTGAATTATTGCATCAAAATGTCTGTGCTGTTGCAATCTTGAGTGTGCTGTTCAGGTGTGTATCTGTAAGCTGCAAACCTACGATAATGCAGCAGCAGCAGCAGAATTGGAAGAAGAAGCAGAAGACAGCCAGTTCTGCTGCGGGCCTGATAGAAGCCCTCCAGGGGCCTAATCTGGCCCCAGGGCCACATGTTTGACACCCCTGCCTTAAGTAATACTATTAATATTAGACCTACTCTTCTAGCACTTTATCAGACCACTGTTCTAGCACTTTATGATAATTATGATAATTGGATTGTTTTATGATTGGTTTTAATTGTTATTTATGTGTTTTCTCTGTAAGCTGCCCTGAGCCTGCTTCGGTGGGGAGGGTGGGAATTTAATAAATAAATAAATACCAGGGTCATAACCCAGAGACAGGTAATGGCAAACCACTTCTGAATGTCTCTTACCTTGAAAACCCCGTGGGGTCGCCATTGGTCAGCTGTGACTTGACAGCCAAAAAAAAAAAAGATTAGCCAACTATTGTAGTCAGAATGGCTTTGCGTTCTTGCATTCTGGTCTGTGTAGACAAAATAAGTGCATCCCTTTTGTACCTGATGTCTATCCAGTGAGAGGGTTTTACAGGGGAGCTGTGTGTGCATGTGGGTGCGTGCGCGTAGGGGGTGTTGGCAGTGACAGCCCCAGGTTTTTTCGCCCACTAGGCGAGGATACATTCTGGTGCCCCCCCTGTGCAGGGTGGGCACCGGAGCCGCAGTGGGCAGGCCGAGGGGGCGAGCTGCAAATGCATGCGGGGGGCAGGATCACTTGAGGGGAGGGGGCCTGTGCCAGGCTGCAAAAGGAGTTCCCAAGAGACCACGGGTTGGGGGTGGCAGAGGGCGAGTGGCACTTTCCCATTATCTCAGGCTGTTTCCCGCACCTGTGCCCCCCTCCGCCTTCTCTTTCTGTCTGGGGGCTGCAAAGAGGGGAGTCTCTTGCCAGGGATGGAGCAAGAAGCCGGAAAGGGAGGCTTCCTGTGCGGGGCAAGGAGGGGACGAGGCTGGCCAGAATGGCGCCCTCATCGAGCCGGCGACAGTCTAAAATTTAACAATAACGGGCCGGCCCTGGGTTTTGGTAGCCTTGAATCCATGATCCTTTTTTGCATTTCAGCACAAGTTGTAGACTGGTGCTGTTCTGGGGGGAAAGTATTATCTGCTTCCTTGTCTTGTTGACAGCTCCTTGACAAATTATTACTCTTGTGGTAGAGCATATTGGGGGTCTACCGGTCTCTGAAATTAAATTTCTGGTCACTGTTGGTAACCTGGTAATTACTTTTGTTGATCTCCACTTAATTTTCCGTGCTCTAAAATTCCCAAGGTAATTTATGTAAAATATTTTGAAAATTTCAAAGTACGATAGATTTAGATATTTCAAAGTAATTATTTATTTATTTGATTTCCATCCCGTCCTCCCCAGCCGAGCAGGCTCAGGATGGGTTACAACAGACAATAAAACAAATTCATCAAGTTATCCAATAATTAAAACATCATATCAATGCACCAAGTATTATTGTTTCTTCTGCTCAGTCCACTAATTATTAGTAACATTCTTTTTATTTTACCTAAGGGTTTAAAAAAAAAAAATCTTGTAGGCAAATTCTGTTTTCTTAAAATTGTGATCTTTCAAAATATGTCCTAGAGAATTCAGAAGTTTACTGATGGTTCCTTACCAATCAGCTTACTAAAGCTGCCTTAGAAAGAGTTGGGCTATAGGTCATTTAGCTTAGCGTGTATATCGTGCCTGGCAGCATCTCTCCAAAGTCCCAGGCAAGCAAAACAGCCATCATCCCCCAACATCTTTCAACTGAAGATGCCGGGGGTTGCATTTGGATCTTTGGCATGCTGGGCACGTGGTCCACCTTCCCCCAACATCTTTCAACTGAAGATGTCTGGGATTGCATTTGAATCTTTGGCATGCTGGGCACGTGGTCCACCATTGAACCACAGCTCCTTCCTCAGGGAGAACATCGGTAATGGTGAACAAACCTTCTGCATAATACGTTGTCTGCTGTGACCAGTCTTCCCTTGCAAAATACAGATGCAGGAAACTGCGGGCATATATCCCATGATGCCTTTTCAGTTTGGCTGGGGAAACGATGCCTAACAGACCTCTCATGCAATGCTCCCTCTAAGCTGTGGAGTCCTGTGAGCAGAAATTCTACTTTGTGGGTTACTGGCATTAAGGTTGTGAGCAAGCGGTTTGGGTGCTGCATAAATTAGCTTGCTCTGGAGCCCTCCTTTCTGAGCGAAGACAAAAATGTGTGAGCCGGAGGCTAAAAAGCTGTGAGCTAGCTCACACTAACTCAGCTTAGAGGGAACACTGCTCTCATGTCCAGAGAGTGCATCTTAGGATCTGCCCCAGAACCCACAAAAGGTGTTCAAGGGTTCTTCAGAAGATCGATTGAGGTGGAAACGGTTCCCTGAGGCAAGGAAGTTGGGAAACCTCTGACTTGTCATCAGTGGTGAAAGAATAAGGCCAGTAGTATGATTCATATCAATTCATAATTTGTATCCCCTCCCCTTCCCCGAATGGCAGAAGTGACTCTGGAAAGGGGAGAGTGAGCAGAAGCTGTAGCTGTGATGCTTCCACTTCATCCACGGTTCATTCCAGCTACTCCATGACTGCTTTATTTTCCCTCACCACTGAGAAAGTCTTGACTTTTGCATAGTGTTAGAAGTAACCTTGAGTCTGTTCTCCCTTGTCTCTCCTTCTTGTTGTTCAGTTTTCTAAACAGATGTTGAAATATGTTCTTAAAAGTACGTGTTTTTGACATTTCTTGACAGGAAGAACATTTCCAAAGAAAGGTCAGACGTGTGTGGTACATTATACAGGTAAGGCCCATCGTGAACAGACCGCTGTTTTCGTTGTGTTTTTAGAGCATTGTTTTATGTTACATATATCAGTCAGATTTTGCATGTGTATCTGTCGGTTGGGCAATGTCTTAAGTGTTTGGATAAGTGGGAAAATGCTACTTAGACTGACACGAATTAGGATAATTGAAGTTCAGGTAACTGTGTGCCTGGGCCCTTCCAACCTGTGGGTCCCCCCACATTCCTTTGAATAGTTCTTGATTGGAGATGGCACACAGGGAGATTGTGCTCTGTCTGAAAAGAGATACAAGGTGAAAGGCAGTGGCACAGCAATATATGAAAACCAGGGAAAAAATGCATGTGCCTATTACTGTATCTGAATATGCTTTATGGATGTCTACGTGTATCTTTGAAACGTTGATTCCATCATGATTCTTGAAAAAAGTTATTGAAATGGATTTAGAACAGGGGGGGGGTCCATTGAGTCAGCTGGCGGAGACACTATTACATCCTTACAGTTCAAGGACTTTTTTGAATTTATTACAAGTTTTTTGTGGAAAAACTCAACCTGTGAATTTCTACCTGTGATCAACTTTACCAGTGAATTTCTACCTGTTGTTTATGGAAAATGTGTTCTGAGTACTTGATATGTCTTACTATTATTAAATCCATTGATTATTGGTGTTAACATTTGGGCACATGCATTTTTTTCCTGTCTGAAAAGAAAGCAGAAGTTTATGGTCTTCAGTGCAGTACATATGGTTCCGCTGGTGCTCTATCGTCCCGTACTGAACATCTAGGGATGAACAGCTGTAAAGGGAAGAGGCGATTGTCTTGCAGCGCAAACATAAGCAGAGTTACACCCATTGACATCAACAGACTTAGAGGGGTGTAGCTCTCTTCGCATAGTTAGATTTGAGCAGGGGTCATTGGGGGGGACGCGGGGGGACGCCATCCCCCCCGGGTGAGGTGCGGGAGGGCGGGGCCTGGAGCTCCCTGCTGGTGCCCGCTGGAGGTCGCCGCCGGCTGTGGGGAGGACACACTTCTGGTGATGTCAGGGGGTGTGGCATATGCTAATGAGTTATGCTAATGAGTCCCCCTAGCTCTTTTTCTACGAAATGACCCCTGGATTTGAGTCTAGTAGCACCTTAGAGACCAACAAGACCAGCGTGGCTGTCCTCTGAAACTATCTGCTTAGCATGCCACGGTTGGTATCTGAATGTCTCGTACAATGTATATGAGTCAGAAAGGGACAGACCAAGGTATCTTGCTGCCCAGAACTAGGGGCGCCCCTCAACTCCTGGACCCACAACATTGCTTTCTGGATCTGTTTGGCAGCGCTGCAGGGTTTTGGATTTGGACAGCAATGTGTACTTGGAGAACAACGGTGATGCCCGTCACCTCCCTTGCTACTGATGTCTGGGAGCAAGCCAGAACTCTATGGTCCATTGAGGTCCTCCGTGTTGTGCTTCCCCAAGAAGGCCCTTGGGTGCTTTGGCTGGAGAAGTGGCCCTGTTATGTGTGTATGTAAAGGTAGCTGCAGAGAGGGACTGTGGGGCTCCTTGTTGCCTCCTGGCCCTTTTGGCTAAGGACGTTTGGCACTAGATGAAGTCTGACCTTTCTGTCCTCCTTTCCTTGCCCAATGAGAGAAACATGAATGGGAGAGCTATCCTTGTAGCTAAATATGGAACATCTTGGAAGGTGTGAGTGAGGTGCGGTTTCAAGGCACAGTGTTATCCCCCGTGCTATTCAACCCCTATGTAAAGCTCTTAGCAGAAATCATCTGTGCTTTTGGAACAGGGTGCCTTCAATAGAATGACGATGCCCAGCTCTACATTTTCTCTACCCAGACCACCTGGGGACGCGGCAGAGGTCCTGAGCCATGCCTGACAGCTGTGGTTAAGTGGCTAAGAGTAAGGACTGACCACCATGACCTGTCTGGCTCGGGCTACCTGGAAGCTAAGCAGGGCCAGCCCTCTTTAGTGCTTGTATGGGGGACAACTGAGGAAGGCCAGGGTTGCCATGGAGAAGCAGGCGATGGCAAACCACCTCTGTCCGTCTCCTGCCTTGGAAACCCTACAGGGTTGCCTTAAGTCAGCTGTGACTGGACAGCACTTTCCACCACCAAGGACCAGTCGACATATTCGTGTTGCTAAAGAAGCTGCCCAAAAAGACTCGAACGTCTCCCGCCGCTCTCACGTCGAAGTCATTTTTATTTCTTTTTGTCAGAATTCAACTGGATTTATTGACCAAGCTTCCACACGAGTGTTCTCAGAATGGTTTATATTCAAAAAAGTAAACATGAGAACAATAAAAGCTGGAGAGAGAGCCCTCCGTTCATTTATTTATATATTTATTGTTTGCATTTATATCCCGCCCATCCCACGGAGGGGCTTTCCTGTCTTCCGCCGTCTTCTGAAGTTGGCTCAATTTCATGTTTGTTGCATCTATGACACTGTCTAACCATCTCATCCTTTGCCGTCCCCGTCTTCTTTGACCTTCAATCTTCCCCAGCATCAGGGTCTTCTCCAGTGAGTGCTCCCTTCTCATTTGGTGGCCAAAGTATTTGAGCTTCATTTTCATTATCTGGCCTTCCAGGGAACAGTCAGGGTTGATTTCTTTTAGGATTGACAAGGGACTCTCAAGAGTCTTCTCCAGCACCATAGTTCAAAAGACTCTATTCTTCGGCGCTCGGCCTTCCTTATTGTCCAACTCTCGCAGCCATACATGACTACTGGGAATACGGCCCTCAGTTTATTTATTTATATATTTATTGTTTGCATTTATATCCCGCCCATCCCACGGAGGGGCTCAGGGCGGGTAACATCATTATAGTAAATACAGTTTCAGTTTAAAACACTATAAAGCATTATAACAATTAAAACAATGGGTACAGCTCGAAACAGCGTCAGTTGGCTATAAAGTTCGGGCCCCATGGTGCAGTGAATTAAAGGACAGTTGCCGGTGGTCAGTAAACAGACGGGTGACAGCAACCTCAGGGAGGCCACATATGGGCACCCGTCGCCTCAACCAAAGGCCTGGAGGAACAGCTCCGTCTTGCAGGCCCTGCGGAATTGAAGAAGATCCCTCGGGACTCTGATCTCAATAGGGAGCATGTTCCACCAGGCTGGGGCCAGGACAGAGAAAACCCTGGCCCTGGTTGAGGCAATACGGGCGTCCTTCGGGCCAGGAACCACCAGGAGGTGTTGATTTTTTGAGCGTAACGCTCTTCGAGGCATATATGGGAACCAGTTGGCACCAGGCAGAGGCCTCACAGAGGGGTGCTTGGCTGCTGCCCTCTGTCTGAAAGCTTTGGCAATGGCGATTGGAAGAGAGAGGAAGGATCCAGACACGATAAAGAAATGCCTGGCTGCATCCTGCCCTCTCTCTGAGGTTCTTGTTGATGCAGTCGTTCTGTAGTCCTCATGGCAGATGATGCCTGGCCCTCATAGAGTGCATTCTGTCTGTTATGTACGTGGACTGCCACCAGGGGTCCGCGGCACATGCAGGAGCTTGGCTCCTGGAACAAAGGAAACTTTGGATCCTGGTTTCCCCCAGCCCCAACCAATAGCCACTTGGCGGGACATTCAAACCCTCCAATGGGAATAGGGGGTGCTGGGTGGATATGTATATAGTTGGCCCTGTCGGGCCATTAGAGTTAGTCTAGTGTTAAGTACTTGCTTGAAAGCCAGTCGAATCCGACTCTAGGGTTGCGGTGCTCATCTCCGTTTCAAAGCCGAAGAGCCAGCGCTGTCCGAAGACATTTCCGTGGTCATGTGGCCGGCATGACTAAACACCAAGGCACACGGAACGCTGTTACCTTCCCACTGAAGTGGTACCTATTTATCTACTTGCAATTTCTTGCTTTCGAACTGCTAGGTTGGCAGGAGCTGGAACTAGAGACAGGAGCTCACCCCGTCTTGCGGCACCCGGGTCTTGAACTGCTGAACTACCGACCTTCCACAGCCTGCAGTTCAGCGTCTTAACCACTTGAGCCACCGCAGCTCCCAAGTACAATAAACGTGTGCAAAAGCATGTCGTCGTCCGAGTCCTCCATGCGGTGAACCCAGTACTTTACACTGTCTCCTTCGAGAAGAGAATGCCCCCCCCCCCAACTAGGAGGTTAATAACATTTTATGTCTCCTCTTAGCTGTCTGGGTGACATCTGCAGTGCAAATTGTAACTGGAGGTAACACTAAAGAAAACTGTACAACACCCAGACGTTATAATTGGTGTGCTGGAAAAGACAAGCCAGGAAAAAAAACCTCTCTAGCTGTAAGGCACTTGCATTTGGGGGATCTTTTTGTTTTACAGAGCATGGTTTCAAGACATCTGGTACGCCCAGGTGGGATTTTTCTCCTTTGTATGGCAGAGCTTCCCAATTCATCTCTGCTAAGCCATCTAGCTCTTTAAATTGCCGTATCTTGAAAGATGGACTACTTCTGTTTCTAAGAGGATTTTAGTGGCAGCTGATCATCGGTGAAACTACAATGTGGCTGTTTTTTTCCAGCAAGTCTTGACAGCAAAAAGGAAGCAGTTTGATTGTTCGGTGTAAAACACATTCTTTTGAGACCACACAGAAGCAATTTGTTGACTTGAAAAGTCTCCGGTGAAGTCAATAACATTTCCCATTTTGCTTATTAAGCATGCATTCATTTCTTTCAGGGAGTATTTTATGAGAAATATAGTGAACGGATAATAGGACTGAAAATAAACCTCTGGCTGATCTGGTTGTGCTACCCAGGCAAGCGACTGTCATTCACACACACACACCTGCCTGGACTTTCTGGTGTACAGGGGAAAGAAGTGTGCTTCCCCAAGAAGGCCCTTGGGTGCTTTGGCTGGAGAAGTGGCCCTGTTATGTGTGTATGTAAAGGTAGCTGCAGAGAGGGACTGTGGGGCTCCTTGTTGCCTCCTGGCCCTTTTGGCTAAGGACGTTTGGCACTAGATGAAGTCTGACCTTTCTGTCCTCCTTTCCTTGCCCAATGAGAGAAACATGAATGGGAGAGCTATCCTTGTAG